ATAGATTTTATTTTTTTTTTTTAGAGCAGTTTTAGGGTTACAGAAAAATGGTGCTGAAACTGTAGAGTTCCCACATGCCTTCCCACCCCCCTTCCGCATGGTTTTCCCGGTTAATATCTTGTGATAGCGTAGTACATTTGTTAGAATTGATGGACCAATGTTGATGCATTATTATTAGCTAACGCCCATAGTTTACATTAGGGTTCTCTCCGCCCTGTGCAGTTCTGTGGCTTTTGACAAATGCCCGATGTCAGCATCGTAATAACTTCACCACCTATGAAAATTATGGGCCACCTCTTCTCCTCCTCCTCCTTCAGGCAACCACGGATCTTTTTACTGCCTCCATGTTTTTGCCTTTTCCAGAAGGTCATATGGTTGGAATCACACAGTACGTAGCCCTTTTCAGATTGGCATCTTTCACTCAATCATATGCATTTTGGTTCCTCCGTGGCTTTTCATGACTTGGTAGCTCATTCCTTCTTATTGCTGAATTAACTTTCCCTTGTCTGGGTGGACCACCCAGTTTGTTTACCCATTCATCTCCTTGTGGACAGCTTGGTTGCTTCCAGGGTTTGGTAATTATGAATAAAGCTCCTATGAACATTCCTGTCCACAAGTTTCGGATTCTTGGGGCGCCTGGCTGGCACCGTCGGTTGAGCATCCCAACTCCCGACTTCAGCTCAAGTCATGATCCCAGGTTTGTGGGATCAAGTGCCACGTAGGCCTCCGTATTGAGCGTGGAGCCTGCTTAAGATTCTCTCTTTCCCTCTCCTATAAAGTAAAATAAAATAAATAAGTTTTTGACTCTTTTGGGTAAATACTGATGCAAAAGCTACTTTTAAAAACATGATGTTAAAGCCTTTCTTCCTGAAGAGAAGGAAAATATTCTCCCCCTCCTTCTAGATGTATTTCAAGACAAGGCAGAAGGTAGCAATAGATAAAGCCAGAAGTTGTGGAATGTTCCTTTCATTTGGGTAGATGAGGTACACTCCTTTCCTGAACAGAGACTAATGTAGCTCACCTTTAGTCCTGGAAGGTTTAGGCAGTCCGAAACATTTAGAAACATTGGCAGAAGGGTAATAAATAGGTAAACAACCGAGTAACAGGTTTGTTCTGAGCATTTGTCCTAAGGGTAGGTACTATGGGATCGGTGGGTGGAAATGAAAACTGATTATATTTTTCTCACTTTGCCCAACAATTACATTTTATACTTACTCCCCTGGTTTTATGACATTTCCCCAATTTCAAAAGTGGGCATTTTTTTTCCCTCTTTTGCATTTTTTCTTATTTTTAGTCTTCCATTTATATCATTCTTCTCATCATTGTGGTTGTTCACTAGGCTTTTGTGGACCCAGAATTATCCAGCTTAGCTTTGTAATTCTTGGCAGTTGCTTTCTTATACCTCACCTCTCTCAATTGTTTTTCTCCATAGTGTATGTTCTGAACCAAATTTCTCCTTTAATGCCTTAGTGTGGCTTCCATTCTTTCCAGGGAAAGAGGTTTAATTTCGCTGGAAACAAACTGTGGCCTTCCTTTAGATTTAAATAGCACAGCTGCTTTATAATCAGTTTGCACAGGATCACAGTTTGGGCTATTGCTGGCCCAGTGTTTTGTGTGTACATGCAGTTTTTTTTTGGAATTACCGTAAATGCTTGAATAGAAGGTCAAATTAGATCATGTCCTACTTCTCTTCAGAAAAGAGGAAGTGTCTAATTTTCAACAACAAAGTACTAGCTGGAAAAAACCCATTAACCTTGACTCACTTAGGACTTTGGGAGCTTTAGAAGTCACCCGAGGAAACGAATAAAAAGGCAGGCCAGGACGTTTTATACGGCTTTAATAATAACTTTCAGGGTCATAACCTCACAGTTGTGAGGGTCTGCTACAACTCTAAAAACAATTCATCGAGTTGTTGATTTGTAGAGATTTTAAATAGGTGCTTATTATTCAAATGGCTTGTGCTGAGACTACCCGCCAGTATTCACAAAGTGCATTATCACAAACATCCAGTCCACCACAAGGTCATGCGACCCTGGTAACACCAAAGGAAGGCTCTGTCATCCCTGTCCTGACAAGTTTCAGTAAAATTGTTTCATGAAATGTGAGGGTATAGGAACAATATATTTTTTTTTATTTAAAAAAAAAATTTTTTTTTTTAACGTTTATTTTTGAGACAGAGAGAGACAGAGCATGAACGGGGGAGGGTCAGAGAGAGGGAGGCACAGAATCTGAAACAGGCTCCAGGCTCTGAGCGGTCAGCACAGAGCCTGACGCGGGGCTCGAACTCACAGACCGCAAGATCATGACCTGAGCCGAAGTCGGACGCTTAACCGACTGAGCCACCCAGGCGCCCCAGAACAATATTTCTAAAGTTAGCATTATGTTATATGCTCTTAAAGATAAATAGAATGATCATTTGGTAAATCCATTGCGTTTTTAAAAATTACGTATGTGTCTTTTCCAAAACCCTTTTTCTGAGGAACAGGGTCTTCCCATTGGAAAAATGAGGGGGAGATTACCTTATATTTGGGGTCACCCTGCATTTGGACATACATGATACATTTTATTTTTTTAATGTTTTTAAAAAAATTTCTTTATTTGTTTTTGAGAGAGAGAGAGAGAGACAGAGAGCAAGTGGGGGAGGGGCAGAGACAGAAAAGAGGGAGACGCAGAATCCGAAGCAGGCTCCAGGCTCGGAGCTGTCAGCACAGAGCCTGACGTGGGGCTTGAACCCATGAACTGTGAGATCATGACCTGAGCCAAAGTCAGACGCTTTACCGACTGAGCCGCCCAGGCGCCCCTCCATGATCCCTTTTAAAGGCTGACATAGGTTTTATATAGTCTGTGCATTGTTTCCACTGGATTGAAGCGAAGGGACACAGTTCTTCCTCCCGTTGGTGGGTGCATGTGGGTGGGGGGATATCCATATGCCCTAGCTGCAGGTTTCAAAGCAGACCTCCCCTTTCTCACCCAAGTATGCAGCCCGAAAGCTACCAGCCACCTCCCAATTTTGAAAGACGTTGGATGTTTTATAGAGCTCACCTTTTTTTCTCCCTTGACTCCTTTTCTTCTCCCAACTTGAAATGCTTCCCTTTATTGTTCCTGTGACAACTGTGTCCCGGGCTTTCCCCCCCCCCCTCCCTTCACCAGCATGTTGTCCTTGGTTCTTCTCCCCAACCCCCAACCCCCAATCTCCTCCCCCCCTGCCCTTCATCCTCTCCCTGGGCAATCTCCTGTCCTTTCAAGGCTCAGCTCCCCAACTGAGGTTGAAAATTGGTAGTTTGCCGGAGGTAACTTGCCTGCAAGTTTGGCCTATGCAATGTGGCTGTTACTGTTTTAAATGTGAATTTGTTGCCAACATTTAAAAATTGGGATAAAGTCCAGATTGCTAGATTCTCTTGGAGAAAATGATGAGCTGGCGGTGTTAGGACTGAGCTGTGAGCAACTGTCCTCGTTAAATGGGACACTGCTTTCCCGTTTACCAAAAGCCCTAGCGAAAGCTCCCTTTTATCTCATGACTTTGACGTAGTATTATCGGTTGCCATTTTTGCTTATCATGATTCTGCTATTCTATTCCTTTGGTAGAGATATGAGGAAGAAGGATTTCTTTTGCCTGTGCCTCTGTTCAAAAGTGGGAAAAATAAACTAGACCAAGAATGCTGTGGGTTTCAAAACAGTGGAATAGAGCGTGTGTGTGTGTGTGTGTGTGTAAAAGAATATTCTTACATATCTAATACTCAAGGTGTGCCTGAGTGGACAGGCTACAACTTCAAGATGCTTGGACTGTAATCATCGGCCTCAATGGTTTTGATGACCACATGTATACTTTTGCTCCATTTTCTTCTTCCAAAATCCAAAACGATCTCTTTGGTAATGTAGATTCATTCGTACTTACTGAGTACCTGGGATGACAAAGGCACTGGGGGTACAGTGGTAAGCGGGGCAGACATGTTCCCTGCCCTCTGGGAGCTTACAGTCAGCTAACACAGATGCCGCAGGCACCTCTCACTCAGCATGACCCTGAGTACACTTCTCCCTTCCCCCTCTTCAAGCCACCTTAGTGGCAAGGATCAGAGTCACCCACCGGTCCGTTAACAATCTTCATTCCATTTGCAAACTTAATTCCCTTTGGGCATGTAACAGTTAACATTTACTCAAGCATAGTATAAGGGATTAGGACCCTGACATCTTTGGAGTCCGTTTTTCTGCCCACCGTAATACCTGCCTGCTTAAATAGATTATTCTTACCTGCCAATTTGTGGATGACACTGGGGCTCCAAGCATGGAGTTTGTAGGACTGATAAATGATGTCAGCTTTCAACATTTAAAAAAAATTATTTTTAATGTTTATTTATTATTGAGAGACAGAGAGACACTGAGCATGAGCAGGGAAGGGGCAGAGAGAGGGAGACACAGAATCCGAAGCGGGCTCCAGGCTCTGAGCTGTCAGCACAGAGCCCGACGCTGGGCTCGAACTCACAAACCGCGAGATCACGACCTGAGCTGAAGTCAGATGCTCAACCAACTGAGCCACTCAGGTGCCCCACAGTATTTATTTATTTATTTATTTATTTATTTAGCACCTTCCCCAAATCTGTTCCTTCCCCGGGCTGGTGTTACTCACTGTCTCACAAACATGTGGCCACATGTGTATTTCTGCTCAGGCAGCGCCTGTCTTGAATGATGCCTTCCACTCTCTTCCAACCCCGTCTATTTAAATTCCAAGTTTCAGCTTTGATCCCACTTCTTCCGGAAACTTCTCATGATGTGTTCTGCCCTCAGTGCTCTCTGCTTTTCTGAAACCCTTGGCTTCTTCGGCCTGCAGCAATTAATTATATCATGTTTATAAATATTTACTTACCGCTTGTGTGAGTTTTGGCAGAGAGCGTTTTGGGTTGGTTCAGAGCGGCTCTAAACGGTTTGTTTGCCTTCAGAAGCAAAATGTTATTCCACTATTTCAAATGTCTATCTGAAATATTCTGTGGTTTTGTTTATTTCAGGGACTTGAAGATAGAAAATTTGCTACTGGATGAAGACAATAATATCAAGCTGATTGGTATGACTTTAAAAAAATCTTTTTTTCAGTTTATTTATTTATTTTTAGGGAGAGAGAGAGAGAGAGAGAGAGAGCATGAATGGGGTAGGGACAGAGAGAGAGGGAGAGAGAATTCTAAGCAGGCTCTGTGCTGACACAGCACAGAGTCTGACACAGGGCTTGAACCCCACGAACCATGAGATAATGACCTGAGCTGAAATTAAGAGTCGGATGCTCAGCCGACTGAGCCACCCAGTCCAGTCATCCATGTACGAATTTTTTTTTTTTTAAGGCAAGACTATTTTTTTTTTTTTTAACATTTATTTATTTTTGAGACAGCATGAACAGGGGAGGGTCAGAGAAAGAGGGAGACACAGAATCGGAAGCAGGCTCCAGGCTCTGAGCTGTCAGCACAGAGCCCGATGCGGGGCTTGAACCCATGGACCGCGAGATCATGACCTGAGCCAAAGTCAGACGCTTAACCAACTGAGCCCCATGGCAAGACTATTCTTTAAGTGTTGTGTTGTCAATTCTCATTTATTGCTGGATTATTGACTTTGAAAAGTATCCATAGGGGCGCCTGGGTGGCTCAGTCGGTTAAGCGTCCAACTTTGGCTCAGGTCACAATCTCACTGTTCGTGAGTTCGAGCCCCGTGTCGGGCTCTGTGCTTACTGCTCAGAACCTGGAGCCTGTTTCAGATTCTATGTCTCCCTCTCTCTCTGACCCTCCCCCGTTCATGCTCTGTCTCTCCCTGTCTCAAAAATAAATAAAACATTAAAAAAAAATTAAAAAAAAAAAGTATCCATAGTTTATTTCTAATCCCAGATAATACTCTCGATCATCTCCTTTACCTCCAATATTCAATAACGGTTTTGAAAATGAAAATTGCTTTTAATAATGAATGTAATTAGGAAGGTAGATATACTGTAATGTGACCATAAGATGAATTTCACAGCTACAAGTAAGTATTTGCTGGTTATGTGTTCTTGGGATTATTCAGACATCAGCTTTGCATAACTTCAGATAGATCTGAACTTTTAGAGGGGCTATTTTTGTTTGGATTAATCATAAAACTTCTTTAAAACAGTGAAAAATGCTATTTAGTTCAGAAGTACTCCTTCTTAATTAGGCTTAGCCATGACTTAATTCACTTTTCAGTGAATACTGGGGTGCTGAAATCAAAGGGAACCCCAACTAACCTTCCCTTTTTATTATAATCTTTATTGAAGCCCCATTGTACATTGGTGGTTGTGCAGAGAGAAGTCCCCATAGAGGGATAATTTAGAAGGAAGGTAATCATAAGGAAGTTCCAGGATAGAGTGAGTCATAATTGGTTCATAATTCAGGGTCCATAAGTGAGTTCACTCCATGACTCATTTGTTAGAAGAATTCCGTTTTTGTTTGCCTGTATGATTGCTCTTGGCAAAAGTCTCATGGCATCATTTTTACACCCAGATGTTAGCGCCATCATCTGTTCCGTTCTTTCTTTCCTTTCCCACCTCAAGTGCAAGTAATTTCTTCCATCTCAATAGCCTGAAAAAGGCTTTATATTAGGAGGAAAGAGAAGGATCAATAGAATGTTGTGAATTTAACTTTCGTACCCAAAAAGGAATTTTGTTTGGCAAATACTGAAATCCATTTCTAGACTCTCTGAAACGTTATCATTCAAATAACCAATTAGATTCTTTGGACTCACAATTGGCTCCCAAAACCCAGTAAAGAGGCAAGGGGCTGCTGGGACTCCAGACCCCTTGGCTGGGTAATTAAGCACTACTGATAGGTGTTAACGAACGAATATACCGATTGTTAGAAAATTAACAAGGGGATGCCAGTTTTTTTTTATTCCCCCAAAAGATTTTATTTTATTTTATTTATTTATTTTTTTTAATTTTTTTTTTCAACGTTTATTTATTTTTGGGACAGAGAGAGACAGAGCATGAACGGGGGAGGGGCAGAGAGAGAGGGAGACACAGAATCGGAAACAGGCTCCAGGCTCTGAGCCATCAGCCCAGAGCCTGACGCGGGGCTCGAACTCCCGGACCGCGAGATCGTGACCTGGCTGAAGTCGGACGCTTAACCGACTGCGCCACCCAGGCGCCCCTACCCCAAAAGATTTTAAAGATGATATTCTTTAAAATGGACAATTCAAAGAATTATTTTCTTATCGTTTCGCTCTTACATTTTAGTCGTCCTGAGGGCCAAATATGGAAGCATTCAACAGGACAGCCGTTGACATGTCTGTAGGATGTCTTTCTGGTCCTTGTTTCTGGGATCTGTGGCATTAAGCAAAGGCCCGACCTGGTGGGGGGTGGTGGGGAATGGAGGAAAGCGATCATTTAGGTTCTCTGGCAGGCTGACCTGTAACTTGCCTTCAGAAAATGTGGAGGTGACAGAGATGAAGTTGCCCTCACAGCAGCAGATTGTAAGGAAACAGGCCACGTGAAAGCCGGATGTACATTATATAGTAAAAGCTAAAATCACTCCCTTTGCACCGCGCATCGTCCAGACTGAGGCTGGTAGTTCTAGCACGATGCCTTTCACCAGGGGGTGATGCTGTTTGCCACCTATAGCTTCTTTCCTTCCCTCTTGCCTCCCTCCCCTTCTGGGCTTGCTCTCTCTTTCACCCCAAGCGATAGCCCTAGCTCATCATGTCTAAAACTAGAAATGTACTGTGGAATGAACAGTGTTGGAAAGCACAGAAATTTTAATTGGGTGGAAGTTTGCTCAGAAGATTCTGGAAGAACCAATCTCTGTACCCAGTGGGATAGGTTTATAAGTAGTTCACAGATTGGCCCGGTAACAAACCCCTCTTAGAGTGGACCTGTAGAAGTAAGAGGAACATTATGTACCTGAATGAGAGCCCACGGTTCCCCTTGAGGAGAGTGGGCTGGTGGCTCTTTAGGTTCCAGGGACCCTTTTGTTCAAATGCCTCCAAGTCCTCACCGCTCAGCTTGGCAGCTGATTCGGCACCCAAGCCAGGACTGAAGTGGGTTCTGTCAGAAACTGGGAGTCAGAAACCACAGTTTTCCAAAACTGCTGGAAAGGAGGCTCTGATCACTGGATTTCCCATTATCTGCACTTTTATGTGGCTCCTGGTTCTGTCGCGAGCAGCAGCGTAAACCAAAAGCCTTATCTCACATTTGTAATCAAAACAGACATTATGGTACCCTCCCCCACCGCCCCCAAGGGCAACTGGGCATTGCCTTGTGTTTACCAATATCTACATTTTCTCCTTTTTTCCCTATGGGTCAGTCACAAAGGCAATAACTGAGGGTGGGGGGTGCTGGAGGGAAGGAAGGCCCAGTGTCTCATACGTTTTCTTGCCGCCCCCC